CCTTAGACCGATCATAAACAACCTCTCACACCTAATCACTAAGATATTTATGCATCTTCTCTTTACATGCCTAAATCATCTCAACTTCATCTTCCTCATTTTGTTCACCATGAAAGTCATTCCCACCTCATCTCAAACATTTCATTCTTAATATCTTTCTTCTAATATTACCACGCATTCATCACTATTATATACGGAAATATATATATATTAAACAATCTCTCTATGTATAGTGTGTTCTAAAGGTGAAAGGTGTACAACGCTTCGACCCTCGAGCTTCGCCACTAATGTACAATATAAATACTATATGTATACTTCTTTTAAATAACTTGCTAAGTTAGTTGCAATTTCACGTTGAAATCCTTTTATTCTTAATAAAAGATTTCAGGTTTAATTCCTCAAAATGAAAAAGATCTTCCTAGTGACACTTCAATGAATTTAGTCATCTCCCAATATAAATACCGAACACCGAAAGTCTTTTTTTTTTTTTTTTAAAAATACACTAAAAAACAAAGGATGGGTTGGGTAGGGCTTGACGGTGGGAGTTAATGCCAAAATGTGGAAAATGAGGCATCTCGTGTGATTCCATTTAATTGCATCTCTCTCTCTTTGTTTTCGCCCTTTGGTCCATTCATTTGAAACTCACACGAAATTTGTCCTCTTTATTTTTCAAAATTTAAGAAAATGACGTGACAAAAGAGTGCAACATTTCAAACGATAAAACTAGAAACTTATAATATTCCCTCCGTATACTTTTAATTATCATAATTTTCTTTTTTAAAGTCAAACTATAAGAACTTTGACCAACATTTTATGATCTATTTTTTCATTAGATTGATATGCAAAAAATTGCAATTTATAGTACTTTTCGTATAGTTTTTGAATATCTAAATTTTTTATTTAAAATATTGAATTAATGTTATCTAATTTAGCTTTGAAAATTAGTCAAATTGACTTTCGAAAAGCGTATCATGACAACTAAAAGTGAACGGAGAGAGTACTAATTGATGATCAAGAGCATCGACTTTCTTTTGTGAAGAAATATTTGTACAGATAAGAGTTGTTTCAAGAAGGAAAAAAAAAAGGACATTACTCTCTTCATCGGTCTGTTCCAAATTAGTTGTCATATTTTGCTTTTCAAGATTTAATTGGCTAACAAAGTGAAATTGAATTAGATCAATACAATAAGTTATAATTTTTCTTATGTCAACAAGATGGAAAAAATATATTTTAAAATATTAATTAAAATTGACATAATTTAACTCTTACAAAGCAAAACATAACAACTAATTTGAAACAAAGAGGATACCTGCTCAAAGACAAGTTATCAATCAATGCTTATTACGATAACTTACATGTAGTTATTGTATAAGTGACTTAATTGGTGTGATTATGTAACTTAACCTTTTCAAACCTTTTGGAAGAAGGTTTTGCTATCAAAAATTTTCAAAATCCACATCGTAGGATTCAAGTTGGAAGAGATAAATTGACCAAGTATGATTGTATATCTCTTATTGGAATATACTATTATACCTAATAAATATTTATTTATACTATCGATATATAAAACTTAATTTCTAAACGATGAGGGAGATACACAAGATATGCTCCTTGGGTTTATATGAAGTCAAAATAATAGTGTCACTTCATCGTACAGCATCTTGGAAAATTTCCCTCCTATAAAAACTATCTTTGTATATTTTATTTTGCCTAAAAGAAAAGGTATCCGATGCTTCATCCCATTTATATAAATTCTCAGACATTAACTTTACAATGTGTACAAAAAAGTCAATTTAATTCCAAAACCCCACAATTTCCTTAAATTAATAATTTTAGAAAAGATTTAATTGACTTTAATTTCATGATCATTTATGCCTTCACACTAAAGGGATTCCTTTTATCATCATCTTCTCAAGCAATCAAAAGATAGCTTTTTTAAATGAAAATTCTCATAGGGTATATCCTATAAACAGCCAATTCTAAGATGGATGAACCTTATTATTAAATAAATAAATAATTACCGTTCGTAAGAAAAAAATAAGATGTATGATAGAGTACAATCATTTGAAGTCATTATTGTTTTTTTTTTTATATATATAAAAAAAATAGGTACTATTTTCAAGGAAAATAATGAATAATTTCAAGAATGACATTAGAGAAAATTGATGATGATCATCATAATAATTGAAGATTGCATTAGGGGATTTCTTATAATTAAATTATAGTTAGTGATAACGAAAGATAAAATTTTCCAGTATTTTACATCACGACTAGGGACCTACTGTTCATGATATTAAAATATTGTCTAGTAGCGGTTTGAAAGTTTTGTTTTCTGAAATTTATTTCTTTTTACATTTAGCAGAATTAGCATCCAAATAATGTTAATTTAAGAGAATTTGCATAGGCAGAAGGTTAAGTGATTTAAGTAAAACTCGTGATATTAATATCTGAATCTAAAACTTTTAAACTACTAAATGATTCGTGTACACGTGAAGAGAAGATGCATACATGCCACATCAAAGAGGTGTGAGTCTGTGAGATGTCAGCTATGGTGGATCTAGTAGAGATTAGTCAAGAAAATATTGAAGAGAGGTGATTAGATGAGATATGACTTTAAAAACGAGGGTATGAAGGTTGAAGAATAAATTAAAAATAAGAGTGTTTCCTAATTCTCCTTATGATTAGCATTATTATATGATTACTCTCCTACTACTTTATTCTTCCATTTTTTTTGTTACTTGTTGCTTCCTTTGTTTTGATTGTCATATTATATGTTGGTGTTGGTGCTATTGTCCTTTTCCCCATTATTTCTACATGACTCTTTATTACTGTAATTCCCTTTTTTTTTTTATTGATTTTAATATGATTTACGTGAGCCAACAATCTCTCTATCTTCACAACGCAGAAATAAAATTGCATGTACACACTCTCTTCATACTCCACTTATAGAATCACTCTGAATATATTATTATTGTACCGATATAATTACTGTTTTTTTTTCCTTGAACTATAAAGTGTTGATATGAGGATATGAGTACGACAAAACAGGAGAAGAAGTGTGTACGCATGAAATTGGTCTATTTATTACTCCCCATCAACCATCCATGTCTATGTTCCCATTTGGATGTTGGGTCTATTTCCAGCTGATAGAGACCCAAACCTCGTGAAAGCTACCAATGCCTTATGGTGACATACGTATATTTAAAATAAATAGCCCAACACACTAAGCTTTCGCTACGTGCAAGATCCGATAAAAATCGAACTACAAAAATTTGTGTATATGCAGTTTTGTCATGCATTTCTGCAAGAGTCTATCTTCACAACTCAAATCTATGACTTCCTGATTACTTGACATCAACTTTACCGGTTACATTATCAAATGTAATTTAGTATGAAATAGTACTTACTACTTAACTACCATTTTTATCAAGTTATTAATCAATGTTAATAATAAAATTTACATTTAATTATCTTATAGTAAGTGATATGATAGTGTAATATCTTAAACCATTCGACAATACCTACAGGCTCACGCAAGGAGAAAAGGAAATTACAACAGCATTTGTTTATTTGTCCTGTATAATGCGACAATTCACGCTTGAATTTGGGGACTTTTATACCCTTCACAAGAAAAAGGACCACTGAATATTTCAATTCTCTGATTCACGTCGGTGGAATATAATCTTTGATCGTTATTATGTAACTATAATCAAATAATTCGAAAAGAAACCAACAAATATCATTGTTCAAGTCCTGGTGGATAGATTTATCCCATACCTGTATCGATGAGAGGTAGCAGGTATCCCGTAAAATTAGTCAAGGCGGTAAGCAGACACAAATATCATCATGAATAATATGTGTCAAGGGTGTTTAGCTTCATGCTCTCTAAAATAAGAATCAAATGTGAAATTATTGGTATTTGAAAACACCAAAAACTTTGAAGGTCAAAAGTAAATGTAGGTAGTGGAATCTATACGTTCATATATCTATCAAATACTTTGAGAAGAATGTTTAAAACGCCTATAACCGTTGTTGCTCAATTTGCAACTTTTCAAAAAAAGGTATTTCCCCTTTAATACACTTCATCTTTATATTATGATTGATGAATTAAAAAATGGAAAAAGATGATTTCAGGGAGAAGCATATATCAATAGAAAGAAACGTATGGAGATTATATTCCCTTTAATGAAATGACCCTTCAACAGATTTGGATTCTTTAGAAGAGGACCCCATCATAATTATCATCATCATTCTTATTACTTTTTCCTCCCATTTCTTCAAAGCAATTGCAATTAGCCACCGATAGCCAGATGTTTTTTTGGGTAGGGTCATCCCCCTAGTTTTTTTATTTTTTTATTTATGACTTTCGCACTGCTCGACTAATTCCACAGAATACCTTACACATCCTACCAGCAATAGGTACCAGTAACTCTGCCACCAAGGCTATCATCCCACTAGTTCTTTTAGCTTTTTCTTTTGATAAGCACATTTTATTATTATTATAGAAATAAGAAGGTTGAGGAGGTTATCCTTCATTTTGTTTTTGTTTTTCCTTTTTCATACCTAGTAGCTGGTCTTTTTTTTTTCCTATTAGGCAGGAAAGAGAGAGAAAGAGAGAGAATTATACAGTATGAAACACTCTTGGATGCTCAACTACGTATCTTTCCTTGTAATCTTACAGTTCTCTTTTCAACGCCTAACACTAAAATGGACCTTACGAGACGACGCAAATTTGGACTAGTTGGAGAAGTGTCAAACTTGGTGAAAGGACACAAGAAAATAAGTCACATACAGGGCATGGGTCTTGTCTGCCAATCATGGAAACCGTCTGATTGATTGAAAACTAGAAAAACGTAAGGAAACTTTATTATATATGATGTCTTCGTTGGAAGGCGTTTGATTAGAGAGAGAACTGAATGATTGATGATTCCCTTATGGACCAAAGTATTGCAAAGTAGTCGTATTAGAACTAAGAAGAATGATAATAGGAACATGCCATATGACGATAGAGATGTTTCCCATTTCACAATCACCAGATTGAAGTCTGGCGGCAGTATTACGGAACAAAAAATATCATATGAAAAATGAAAAACCTCAAAAAAGAATTTGATAATCATGGAAGGTACCGGATAACTCTATCCACTTCAATAGATGAAAATAAATCACCTAATGTTTTCTTTCTCCTCTAGGATTTGGACTCGAGACCTTATGATCCACAACCCACTTCATTGGCCACTAGGCTACACCCTTGGGTGCATAATTTTTTTTTTCATAACCTTGTGGAAAACCATCAAATTGTTCCCAATTAATAAATTTGGACAGCGGGAAAAAAAGGAATCTGTATTTCAAGGAAAGGCTGAAAAGAGGTGACAATCAAGAGCCTCTTTCAAACAAATTAGAAAATCTAATAAGCTAGCATATCTATGGTACGCGAATGAAAGAATCGCTGGATATATACTAACAAGAGAAATAACAATAACTTTACCTGGTTCCTTTAATGACGAAACTAGTCACAAGAGGCAACTGCTAGTGCCACACTCAGATCATTTGAGGTTCCGCATATGTACATTCTGTATGTTTCTAGTTCTTGTTGGTAACCCCTTGGTGCATGACTAGCATAGTAATTTTCGCTAAGGTGATCACGTTTGGAAAATATGATCTCTCGCAATGTTGGTTCATGGCCATTTAGAAGATTTCCCATGCTTAAGACTTTCCTCCATGATTGATTCACAGTAGGTGGAGTGAACATGCTTGCAACTACCTCTCTCTCTTGTCGCCTAACTTCTTGTTTCTTATCGAAATCCTAACATAACAAAGTTGCACCGTATAAAATGAGAAAGCAAGAGATAGAGGCACAGGTAAATTCACCCTTGTTTAAGGAAATATATTAAAAACGACATCTTCAGCCACAAAGACTTAAGCGAGGGGACGAGAGGTATATGCTGTTAAGCAAGTTAGGAAATGTGTTAATAATTTTTGAGTCTTGACCAAGACATCAATCTCTCATTCTAGTGATAGAAAAAGAGAAAGAACAAGATATATAAAATCATACCTTCTTCTCATCACCACCAATTGATACTGTTCCCATTTTTGGTAGATAGAAGTTGTAGTAGTCATTGAAAATGGATTCTGATAGACGTGGTGCTTGCAAGAACTTCTGATGAAGAGATGCAGCGAGTGTTATCAAACTCTCAACATGTCCAAAAATTGCACAGAGTCGCTTCAGGTCTTCAATATCTTCAGTGCCAACAGAAAGGCTATTTTCTGCAACAAAAAAGGTCAACCTGTTAATTTACGAGCTCCTAAAAACCTACTGCAACTCAATAACATACTAGACCAGAAAATATACTTTGCAAGCATCTGAGAGTGGCTGCCATAGTGAGGTAAAGTTGTCCAATTCTGGTGGTCAGCTGCTTTAGGCCTCCAAATGACGTTCTGTTTAGTGTGTCAGCTGCTGCTTTAAAAGCAGTAGAAACCATTTGTCCCAACAATTCATATGGACGCAATGTTTCCAAATAATGAAGAACCTACACGAGTTACACGATACAAATTACTTCCAATCAAATCAAGAAGCTACTCCATAAAGGTGCAATTTTAAATGGATTGGCCAAACTACATAAACATTTTGCTATAAAGCTTCCCTCGTGCCCTTTCTTAGTTGGTCCTCCTCTATGCCCTAAAACCCTCCCCAGCCAGAAAACCCGACTCGAACTCTCAGGCAATACACTGCAAGTGTTCACGGAAGTCAGAGACAATGCTGATTTGGTAAAAGATTACAAACGTAAGGAATCATCTGTCTGGATTAAAGAGAGGGCAATAGATGAATAGGGCAAACAGATGGAATAGGCTTGTTGAGTTATTCAATAGAGAGGAATGCTCTGGGGTCTCCAAAATTTAGTCTCTGGAGGACCAAATATTCCACCTTCAACTAGTCTGAGGGAAATAAACCCCACAAACTCTACTCCAAGGATCAAAACCCGCAATTTGTCTAATTAATTTACTGAAATTCTCATGAAGATTTATGATGGATCACTTATACCAGAATATTATAAATGAGCCTGGCTTATGCAAGCGTGCAATCTCAGTATACCTTTTCTCCTTCTTGATTTGGATCCAGAAGGGGCTTCTGCTCAGAAGCTGGCAATGGAGGTGCCTCATTCCAAATCTTTCTCCATGAATTCCCATGCTCAGACATTCTTTCTGAAAGTTTTCCACGAGGTGGCCAATCGTTTGTTGACTCTACCACTGCATTGGTGTTAGATTCTACCTTCTCCATATTATCATCATTCTCCCAGTCTCTGGGTGAATGCCATCGAATGAAATCTTCAAACACAGCATCGGGATTTGCTGCTTTAAAAGCAGACATATCTGTTGCAGAATGCGAAGGATAATAAAAAAGTGAATAAGGAGAGAAGATTAATTCTTCAAATATCAGCAAGCAAATAATAATTGGAAATGAGCAAGTCTAGTGTGATCCATACAACCTGCTACAGCAGAAACAAAAAACTACATGGAAAAAAAATCAAGGATTTGATTCACTTAGACAATTAGGAAGAAATTGTTTATGTACACTTTCTGGAACCGAGAGAAGCTTGACTAAATCTGATGAAAAAGTTCTCAATCTATAACATTTTGGCCTGAGATACTTAATCCATTTAAAAAATGCTAATAAACTCATAATTAGTACAACTGCTTCCTGACGAGAGGGAGTTGCTCAGATGGTAAGCACCCCTCACTTCCAATCCAAAGGTTGCGAGTTCGAGTCACCAAGGGAGCAAAAAGGGTGGGAGCTCCTAGGTAGGGTTAAAAAAAAAGCACAATTGCTTCCTTGTGACCTTTTGACAATTTTTTTGCAAAGGTATTTTATAAATGATCAGCACTAAGAAAGTGATGTCCAAATCTGTACATGTGCAGCAAAAAAGTAACTCAACAAAAGTCTAGTCCTTCTAAACATGTAAGGATTCTAACCCCATTTGACACTTATTAAGGTGTCATATTGTCCAGTGATAAGATAGCTTATGGATTCCAATTAGGAGATATTGTTCATAAAGGTGTATTACGACCCTACGAGTATGCTGTACAACTGGTTGGTTGGTTTGTCGCCAAAACACCTGACTATAGATTTTGTTTTCACATCGAGCACCAAAAGAACCATAATGTGCCGACTTTCCTTCCACAATTAGATGACAATATAGACAATTAACAAACCCATCCACAAACTTTTGACCAAAGATCCTTAATTATTTTAGAAGACAGCCCTTAATCAACTGATGTTTCAGCCAGTGAAAAACTGAATTAAGTGTTATTTCAACCTGAGTAACAGTGTCTTGTTCCAATAACTCTTGAGGTAAAACAGAAGAATGTGTTAGCTATTGTGGTTATGCACAAGGCATCACAAGATGCACATCCATCTATTTTTTGCATTTTCAAACTCTTAAGTATCTCATGATCTCAGCACACAACAGCCAACAAGCTGAGATCCTCAAGATGCTCACTTGATGCTTTAGTCAAGTGAGAAGAAACCTATAACTTGCAGCAGAATTTCCTTTGGATTGAGCCGACATCCGTTACGGTCTTCATTCAATTGAAAGAATCTCCGTTCCAAAACCGTACGTGAGATTTTCACCTCATATGGCTCCTCCCTTATGTGCATAATGAGAATAATACATAGAATCAAAAAAGATTCAACGATGAAAATATTCTCATTATGAACTCAGCAGGGCTAGTGTTATTACAAGAAATCTCTAGCCAACCGACTCGATCATCAGATTATAAGTTCATAACCCTAGTCCATTCCCACTTTGGGCAGAACAGATCTACTAATTCTTTGATTCCAGTTAGTAAGAGGGATCTTGAACTAAGAAATAGACCCTAGAAGCTAAAAAAGGCTATCCTCAGCAATTGCAATTGACTAATAAGAACCATATAACCTTGGTTGCTTGGATCCTTCAAAAATGTTGTCGGGTGTGAGTAAGATCCTCCAAAAGTTATTCATTTGGAGGATCTAACATGGCTGCAGCAACATTATATTTATTGAGGATCCGAGCAACAAAGTGCTTAACACACACAAATGTGCCTAAGACAGCAAGAAAGCCTTTAAGAAAATAGAAGGTACAGAAGTTCCTACCTGATGACAATATGTCTTTCTCTAGTTGGGCAGAAAATCTCTGCAAATAAGCATTAGACATTCCATTGTCAGATGAAATAATACCAATAGTGGAAATGATAAGACTTTATGAAGCAACTGAAGGATAGCTTAACATAAAACAATTGTTTCCCCAGGAAATATTGCAATAGAAATCTATGGATATGTCCTTCAAGCAAGACTAGGATAGTCAAAAACACAAACCAATACCAAACAGTCCAAATAATAGAAAATTTGCCACAATCTTTAATTGTTAACTCTAGACGTAGCTATTGAATACAAAGTGGTAGCATCGTTTCAAAATTTTCTCAAAAATAGTAATAATGACGAGAAAACTTTATGGTGGCTCAAAAGTGAGAGAGTGGAGTTTAGTGAAGAGACCAAAACCTATAATTGCTGAAATCAGTAACGGGAACATGGAATGCAATTGAATATTTCTTAATCTGCATATTCAGGATCATCAATAAGGATGATTCTCTACCTGAGACATGTAAATGGATTTAAGTACCTAGAGAGCCCTTTAAGCTCCTTTTCCAAATGCCATCACACAACCAATCATCTAGGAGATCTACTTGCAATGTAGTGCGGTGCTTGTTAGCAATTTCTTAAGCAGAAGAAGATGTAAGAATTGGTGGGAATTACAATACCATTTCTCTTATTGAACATGTTTAGTACTAAACAAAGCAAGAAGTCATAGAAAACATTATCATGTGTTCTATATGACCTGAAGCCAGGATTCACGTAGCTGATTCACCAATAAACCATTAAATTGGCATTCATATATATGCACGGACTATAGACTTCTTATAATAGCAATCATTCTTCATTCAATTACAGTATGCAATGACTCTCTACAAGAATAGTAACAGCAGCAAATTTCATGATTATCAGAAAAATGAATATCTATAATAGAGCTTTGAACTCACAAAAGATTCACCAAGGGCCTCAACGGCTTGGAGACGTTCTTCATGCATGTCTTCAGTCATAAGTGGTGGATCCTATAAAAAAAAATTAACATCAAAAGGTTGCCATTATACCATAAGCAAATGTGGCAAGGAAACAGAAGACTGATAAAAACAAGTATTCAATCAGCAGTACAAATAAATCAACCTGTGTAAATGGAGCATGCATGTTCTGGTAAGATTTCAGAAGCATCATAGACCCCACAATACCAGCCGATCCCCTCCTGATACATGCCGAATGCTTTGGAATTGGATCACCTAACTTCACAGCATCAGAATGTACAAAACTAGAAATATCACTTTCAGGATCATTTGGACGATCTGGTGTTGACAGACTGCAGAGAGAACAGGAAACCAACTCAGTTCAGTTCAAAGGGCAGAAATTCAAACTAATACAGATTAGTAGGTTTTTGAAACATAATACTAACTCCGTTCAATTTGTTTATCCAGTTTTGACTTGGCAAAAAATTTAAGAAAATAAAGAAGACTTTTGAATCTTGTGGTCTTAAACTAAAGATATGCAAAATGTACCAAAATTCCCTTTAAACTTGTGATCTTAAACATGCCATTGGAAAGTTAGAATTAAGGAGTTGCCAAAAAAGGAAAGAAACATTCTTTTTTAAATGGACTAAAAAGGTAAGTAAGACAAACAAATTGAAACGGAGGGAGTATACCCACATATTGCACAAAAGCGCATGCATTTTTCCCTGACTAAATTTAGTCCAATGCTGCAACTTTAAAACCTATGGATCTCCGATCCAGATGTAAGCACTAGACTAGGTAAGCTTGCCCCAGCCCCAAAGCAAAACCGAAAATAAAAAGATGAATAAAAGGAGAAATGGCCAGATCATTTTGGATTAGCCTATCTTCCTTTAGGAAAGTATAAAGAGAAAGTCAGACACCCATTGTGACCCAACATCATATTTAACTATTTAGATAAAACATTGCCTCAAACGAGCCTCATTTAAGTCGAAAATGGGTCCAAATCAAGTATCTGGACTTCCACCAATACCAGCAAAAATTGAAATTCCCTAAGGGTGAAAAGAGGGAATATTCTCATTTAGAGTCGAAACAAACCATGTCAAACATTAAAAAAATTTAAGTGCTAAAAACAATAAGCAAGAATAAATGAATTAATGAATCAGTTCAGTTAAACACCATAAGATACAGCTTATAGAGTGTAGACTGCAGCGGCATAAATCACCAGGTTTTAAAATCATAGGTGCTTCAATTCCTCCATCATGACAAAATCATAAGACTTGACCTTTATGCAACTTAGCATTGTAAAATAGACAAGAATAGCAGTACTTAAAATGCAGAAAAACTGGAATGACATAGTTTAGAAAAACTAGATTGGCTGACAATCGACAAGCATTCAACAATAATACAAAAAGTTCTCACTTGCTTTTCACCTGTCACATTCAAAAAAAGAAGCCTCAGTATCTCCATCTTCAGAAGATATGTCACTCTGGATATGAGAGTCTCCCTATATTATATAAGTTAATCAATATCCTGACAGGAAATTAAGTTGATGTTCTTAAACGCTTAAAAACTTTTAGATAGAATTAATGTAGACAATTGTCATAAAAGTACCTTAACATGAGCGGAAAGGAAAAAATTGTTTTCACCTGCCTTTGGACACTCTTGATTCAACTGATGCTTTTTATCAATGCAAATTGAAAGCTACATATTTGGGAGATAAACCAAAATTAGGCCAGATAGATTATTTACCGTTGCCATATCTTTAAAAGAGACTATCAAAGAGAAAGGGTAAAGGAAAGTATCATTCACTAGTACCCATGTAACCTCCATATTAATCAATTTAGAATACCATTTTATTGCACTTTTTCTTAGAAATATTTCGTTATTCAAGACTGATCTTGGAAACAGATTTATTAGGAAGCTCATGACAATCAGGATAACTACAAACTAACAACTTAAAAAAAATCTGAGACTCGATTCATGCTTTTTCAAGATATAAAATCAGAAAGCTTGGGGGTTATATCTATGTCAAAAGATTGAGGTATGCTGGGATTCAACAAAACTGCTACAATGAAAATCAAGAAAACAGTCGGAAGACAGCGAGAAGGCAGTGAAAGAAAGTAAATAGGTGAACTGGCAAAATATTCAGACACAATTTACATGTTGAAAGATAAAACTAGTTATTGTGGCATTTGGAGATACACTTATCAAAAGCTAGACAGGTATGGAAGTCCTGCTCATTATTTTCTATTTCTCTGTCAAGCATTACTGCAAGTGACTTACCATGTGTAATTTCTGGTTAATTAAACATGTAGATAGGTCGACTACACCACTGGCTTGCATTCTAGGTAATGGCTGTGACTCTTCCCAACACCACCGAACTTCTCGGACAAACTCTATCCAGAATGCCGCAATAGCTAAATAGACATCACAGAAAAAATATGCCTTAGGGGGGGAAAGAATGCTGAAGTAACTTAATGAAGGAATATACTAAGGAAGTGATTTCTTGAACTTTTTCAGCCCATTGAGTCAGAAGGTACCCCTTATATTGCAATCACCAAACCAGAGAGAATGCAGACAGAACTGGCCAAAAAGTGATTCAAGAGGAGCGCCTTTAATGGTACGAGAATTTTCATGATCTCCTTCAGCAAAATCAAGTTGCAGGGCACCAACTGTATGAAGAAATTGAAATGAAGACAAGATAAGTCAACTGAATGTTTCTCCCTCCATTTAGACCCTAAATTTGGAACTCCAACACCATATTGACCAATTATATTCTGAAGAATACACTTCTCATTATGTCTGATTTCTAATTCTCTTCTTGTTGTTAAAAGAGACTCATCATTAGTAGGGTAAACCAGATCAAAGTACTCTGCCTAAATATGGCTAGGTCAGCCAAGAATCCAGATGGATTAGCATATCTCCACATCATTTCTCTATGATGAATGAAACATGTATCTAACTAGTGAACAATAAGAGGAATTAATTTGCTCCATCTAGCTGTTGAACTTCATGGTTTTCAGTTATACAAACAACAGTTGATTTTTTGGTAGTTAAGTGCGTTTTTAAGGAATAGGAGAATGTACAGCAAAAATTTGAGTTGATATGAAATAACACTAACCTAAGCCATTATCACTCCCCTGCCTCCATTTTCCCATAATCATTTACATCTTGCAGATTTAAATGTATAAGTCATTAATCATATCTCTAAACTACAGTAAATAAAATTAGGTATAGAATCTGAGAGGGTTATTGTCCATCAAAATTGAAACCTCAGGAAGCAGCAGACCGTTTCAGAATTGCAATCCAAGTGGGAGACATAGAAAAGGCTACAAGTAAAGAAAAAGAGAACTCGTGATATACCATCATGAAAGAGGTCTTTAAGAACTCGATCAAGGACAGTTGGGGGAGGTATGACTGCAGTAGACTTCAAATTCTCAGGTCCTGGGTTCTCTACTGCACCAAAAAAAAAAAGGAGCAGATTAGTGAACAAATGCATCAAATGAAAATCTCCACATTTATACAAATCTGATATTGCAGCCCAATTGATCAGAAAATTGCAGATGATTTGTGCACAGTTGTAGAACCTGAAATAAAATCTTCCACAAATTTAGCGTCCAGTGACATATGCAAAGCGTCAATTAAGAGCAGCAACTGTGATGCGAATCCAATTCTCTTTCTGCCAGAACCATCACTTCTGAATTCACCAAACGTGTTTATGAAGTGAGACGCCAAATTAGTGCGCAAAGTTCAGTCCAAACCAATCAAGATTGAATCAGAGGAAGATATTAGATAATATAAAGACCCCCCCCCACCCCCCCACACTCATACGCC